CGTATCGTGCTTTTAAATGTTCATTCTTACATGTTTCGTTGTCAATTGCATATTGAAAACATTGAAGATTGACAATTAATTAATAACTAAAGTTTGTAATAATTACTTAATTAAGGTATAACAGACATATCTAGAAAAGACTACTCGCGTAATTACTCTTTTCTTTTTTTTTTTTCTTTAAACCATATTAAAAATTCGTGACTAATGTGCTGAACAATTCAAGCCTCGAATAATCACTTTTTATATAACGTGACAAGTATTCTGACACGATTGAATTACGTAACGACGCACGAATTTTGCAAACAGAATGATCGATGGGATACAATAAAAAGAGGAAGACAAAAAAATGTATTGGGGGAAAAAAAGGAGATATATCCGCGTAGAAGCACTGGACTTAATTATTCACAAGTCACGATACGATTCATTATCTCGACGAGGCTGTCAGAACTTTGAATAATTATTCACTGAAGTACGATCGATACGCTCGACAAGGAAGACGATTTGGTAACCGTGAGAAGCATAACTCACAGAAATGACAAAGTATCATTATTAATTATGCAAATAGTTTCTCGCGTTTCGTCGTTCTAGCCGTTACATGAAGCATGTTCGTATGGCGCCTATTTCGAAATTGACATATGCATTTTATAATAAAATAAAATATACACCAGTTCAAAATTGTCCAGGGACTCAGTTATCTTTAACAGAATGCAAGTTGATTGCGATATTACGAATAAAACGCCTGAATAATTTTATTCTTTGATATTACTGTTATTATAGCTGCGCAAAGTTTAAAAGAAATTATAAATTTATAATATTTGTGTCGTGCGTTTATAATTAATAGTCTACATTTAATGATGTAATAAAATTATTGAGAATTTATATTACAAGATGATAGATTCAGAATATTATTTTGTGAATAGAAAAATATATTTTTTCTCTTTGAGTCTCTGAGATTAATTTTCGAGAAAATTAAGTTTGAAAATTCGTCGAATTAATTGGCTCACTCTTTACAGAATGAGATTCTAAATATTCTTTTTTATACAAGTAAAAATAAATTGAAAATTCATAATGATTCAAAGTTCAATTAAAAATTTTTGTGTTAGTCAGATAGATGAAATTATTATTTATTTTGAATAGTAATTTATCTTTTAAGAGGCACTCTGATCATCAAATTGAACGCAGCTGGTATTAAGGAAACTCATTATTTTATTTTATAAACAAAG